GCTACTTCATGAAATCTGTTCTGCATTTGACGTTATCCTTGAAAACTAAAGAATTCTAAAACATTTTTTAAGTTATGCATAAGCTCCATGAATTACAGTAGAGCAAAATGCTTTATTGATAGCTGCTGCTGAGGAGACAAACTGAAGTCCAAAGTAGCATGATTTGTTCCATTGATCCACCCCCTTCTCCCTCCATCTATAACATATGCTTAACAATTAGGTGACTTTAATTCATTTTTTGTTCTTGAAGAAATGTCCAAGCCAGCAGCATACTTCTCGATGAGAAGTTTGAAGTGAGATTTGGAAGTCTAAGTGAGATCTGTGAGCAGAGGGGAAGCGCTCGTCCAAAAATGATTACTAGGTTGTTGCGGTTGCCACGGTGAGTAATTCTTGATTTAGATGTATATGCAATGAAATTTCAGTAGTTTGTTACTTACCATGTACAATTGAAGTTTATGCTATCTTGTGAACCCATCAAAACAAACTATAATCTATTTTTTGAGTGCCAACACAGCCAAATTGGAACTGTAAAAGGATGCAGAACCACTTTTCTTTGTGCCTTTTGAGCTTCAACATGAATTTTCAGGTTTACAGAGAGCTTTTTCTTCTCGGTTTAGGTTCTGACATTGCCCTTTTGTTTTGTGCGCAGGAATTTCAAAAAAAGCAGTTCGGGTATGTGTTTCTTACTGTATTGTCGTCGTCGTCGCCGTCGTTTCTTTAGTTCTTTTTTTAGATTTTAGCATTCTTAGCTCTAGCAGCAAGGTGAAAATTCTGACTGAATCTTTTCTGAAAAATTTCCCTCTACACTTTTAAAATTTATGTAATCTCATCTAAATGACTGATGTTGACCTCTACCGGTATAGCAAAAATATGGATTTTTCCAATATTCTTGCTATTTTCTTCTTCATCTCTCTCTCAATCTCTCTGTTTCGTCTACTTATCTATGGTCTTTTCGCCGTTTAAACTTTTTTCTTTTTTTCAATTTCAATTCGCCAGATGAGCCAAATGCAACATGTGGATATGATGTATATTGCTTTGGCAAGGTGTTGCTTGAGCTAGTAACAGGCAAGTTGGGCGTTGACATGTCGGATACTGCCAACTTAAAGATATGGCTTGCTGAATCTCTCCCTTACATCAGTATATATGACAGAAATCTTGTGACTAAAATTGTGGATCCATCTTTATTCACGGAAGAGGACCATTTAGAGGAAATTTGGGCCATTGCTATTGTTTCTAAGGTCTGCCTGAATTCCAAGCCTTCAAAGCGGCCTCCAATGAGATATGTACTCAAAGGTTTGGAGAATCCTCTGGCCGTAATAAGGGATGAGTGTTATCGAAAAGCACTAAAAACGACAGAAGATATTGGGTCGATGTCCCTCGACAAAGCTTCTGGAATAACTACTGACGATCGTAATACTATTGTGACGTGGCCAGACGGAGTAACGGAAAGGTGGGATCACAACAAGATGCTGGATTCAAATGTATGGTTGTATTAGTTGCATATAGTATACATACACAATAAATGATACTGCAAATGGTGCAAAGAACTTCACTTCGCAAAAACATTTTATTGAAATCTCATTGATTATGTGAATCTGTATGTTAATACGTTTTTTGAGGATCACTGAGTTCATAAAGATGAAATTCATTCCATTTTGCTGCTGGTAGCAAGATTCATATTACACGTAATTTTCAAATACCTCATTTATTTGGATCCACTTTATATCCAGAATCAATCGCAAGGACGGGAAGCCACAAGCCAGGATAATGACTCCAGCCTCAGTGCGATAGTTCATTATTGAATTTGCTGTAGTGTAAGAGGAAAAAATCAAAGATATGACCTAAACTAATACATCTTTTATGAGGATACGGGCATGTAAGTTCCATAATGACACACCTTTTTGCTATAAAATGGGTTGAATAAGAAGTCTAAGAGATCAACTAAATGAATACTCGAGCACAAAAGCGGGAGAAGTGTAAAAAAAAGATAATAATAATAAAGAAATGGAAAATGAAAAAAGAAAATTTGAATAGCCAAAAAAGGTCCCACCGAGATTTGAACTCGGGTTACTGGATTCAGAGTCCAATGTCCTGACCACTAGACCATGGGACCGTTGCTCTTTCTTGCAATACTCAAAAATATAAATATAATAATTTCAATACTTCATAATTTGCTCACGCATCATAAACTTGTTAAACAGTAAAAAATTTGAATTTCTTCTTAGGGAATCGAGTGGATCTACGAAAACAGTTTCTTGAACACCTCTTATAAAAAGACTAATGGAAATGAACTATATTTTGAATAATCAAAAACGAACTAATTATCAATAAATTTTACACAAGCCATTTTGAACTTCCTATTCTACATTCCCTTTTTACTTTATTAAAAAAAATAATAATAAATAAAGAGAGAGAGAAGAAAAGAAAAAAAAGGTATGGTAAACTTTTATTATGATAATAGCCACAAAAAAACAACAAAGCCTAGCACAAATTAATTGTTGACTTGCATTTCTTATCGAAAAATGATTGTCATTTGTCGTGCTATCTAACATTTATTTTTGAATTTGATGATTTTCACATGAAAAAATTGACATTTTTTTTATTATCATGATAATTAATCCTACTAGTTTTGTTTCTAAGAGGGCCTCCACGCTTGAAGGGGAAAAAACCTTAGGGTGTATCATCCAAATCATCAGTCCAATATTAAAGGTAGCCATTCTATAGATAACAACGTGCAAGATGAGAAAAGGTGTACAATCAACCCATTGTCTATCGATCAGGAATTTGGTAGCAAGGCCACTAGTGCGGGGCCATCCTATCCCATTCTTGTCTTAAAGTAGCACGAGCCATGCCTAACTTCCTAAGTAATGCTATAATATCAGAGAATCAATGCATTAGGTGCACATTAGTCTGTGTTCTTGAATTCATGAATTAGTTGAAGAGCGTACCATACTACCAAAACCAATCTTCAGCCCCCTCTCCTCCGCAAAACCATGGTTTCGGCATCAGATGGTGAAAAATGGCCTGAACGCGCCCTGAGCAAGCTGCAATAACCACATCCTGCTGGTCCCGGATTACCGTCCCAAAAATTCCCCGTTTGACCCCATTCTCATTCTCATTATTTTTCTCTCTCTCATTTTCAACCACACAATCTTCCATAAAATAATATTACACGCAAATAAAAAACTTTTCATTCTTTTTCAACCACACATTTAAAAAAACAAAAAAAAAACACTAATCCAGCCATAAAAATTTGGAAGAATGGGGGCCAAACGGGAGCTAGTGAACCCTTGCTCCAAATTCTCCCCTAAAATTTCCTAAGTTGGTCCTACTTCTGCATCGCTGCTGTGTGTGTCCAGTGCTCTCAAGGAGCTGAGTACAGACGATCCCCATGCCATTAATTCATCATTAGACCTTACCGGTTCATCCAAATACTAGAGTAGCATGTTCATCCCTACCGCACTGCTGGAAAATACCCAACTTTCCTTCTACATCTGCATGATCACACGATTTAATAATAAACCGGTAACCCGCCTCTTTCCAAGTGGCCTTAGCCGGTGTGTGCATCTCAGTTTCAGGTAGTCCGCATCGTCCACACCTGCCATCAGAATTTATGCGTCACCTCACTAAACCAATCAGAAGCGCATTCTACTCACTTTTCCCTGTGTACATTTCCTTTTTCTCTAAATGCCAAATGAGCCTGTGTTCACCCCGATTCATGCTCAACAGAATTGACAATCAGTAGGTATGAAAGAGGAAATAATCAGTGCTGCAATCCAAGTGCCAAAGGGTAGAATTAGATAACTTTGAGAGACGTTTCCACTTCTTCCCCCGCAAGCAAAGAGGTTTCAAGATACCAGACGACAAAGTGAATGCAACTCATTATGCAAGTAATGAATGGAAGGCAAAGGGGTTGCCTGATTCACCAGTCGTTCCTCCTGACTCATCAGTAGGGTGATGCCAAACTATCATCTTAGAGTTGATACTATTACATAGGCTTGGGGCTCAAATGCTTTCCCACGTGTATTATTCAGTTTGTTGGCTCCTCTTATTCTCAGCACATAGGGGGATTACCTTTTTCAACATTTATTTGTTTGGGATGGTGGATTTTGAAACACCTTGGTCTCATTCCATTATAAATATATTGGAACTTGGACAAGGGCTTAATGATGTTGAAATCCATAAATATCATATTCAACATCATAGATTTAGATTCTAATTAGGCAAATTTGGACTCTAGAGGTGCAAACCATGACCGGCCAGGAAAAAGATGCAATTTTTCGTTTTTCTGAAAAGGCATTCAAGCGAGGCTAGACTACACTTTCTAGGCTAGCACATCTAATTCTGAATGGGGAAACCATAAAATTTTCCTTCTTTCCTTTTTTCCGTAAATTTTTGTAGGTTTTTGATCCTGATTCTAACAGGAGAACTAGAATTTTGCTTCATATCTTCCCAGCAAATTCCAACATTTACTAGCAACAAGCGCTTACAGAGAGACTGTCCGACATTGAAACAAACATATATATGGTCACATACTGCAACAAGTACCATGGTTATCCATTCAGAATTTTAAGGTCCACATAATTATACTTAAAAGCTTTCGCAAATTGCAACTATTTTTCACGCATGTCACCAGAACAATAAAAATAAAAGACTTTTACATTAGATTATAATCAGGAAATAATTTCATTTGAAAAAGATGCAACTTAACATTAGTTATCCGACTGCAAGGACACAACAATATTGAAAAATAATCTCAATATGTTTCTTGCTAAATTATATTCATAAATCATCAGCAACACAATATTGAGAAATTCTAACATCTCATCACTTGTCCATTCAACATAAGATTGTGATCAGGGAAGTTACTAGAACAATAGAGCTGCTGTCGAACCTGCCAACCAGGAATTGATGGAATTTTTAGGAGCTTTGGATATCTTTTATGGGAATTCCCAAGGCTGTATGGTTAACAAATGGTAGTAGTTTTTTGCCACCATTTATATGAGATGTTTTTCTTCATAGTTCATATCACCTGAAAAAGCTATACTATACACGTCTATATCCGGTAACAACCACAACATCGAAAATATATATCCAGTAATACACGTAAATTCTTCAATAAAATAAGCTCATAACAATTATAAATTAGCAATATCCAGGCCTCTACCATTTTCCGTGCCAAAATAGTATCAACGACGGTATCGATAACGTTTAAAGTTGAAATACAGATTCAAGATCCCGAATTTAAATTTACTCTTGAAGCCCTTCTTGTGCGAGTACTCCCATTCTTTGTTGACAATTCGAAATGCCTAGCGCACAGATGAGGAGACCAGTCAGGGGGCGTAGTCATGTCAATTCATAAGTTTCCAACAGAACTAGTCATCAATGGACGACAAAATTCCAATTAAACCTTATACTGGAAAACAAAAGGAGATGACGAAGACGACAAAATATACTGGAAAACAAAAGGAGACGATGAAGACAACAAAATATACTGGAAACCGAAAGGAGACAACGACGATGACTTACTATGTCTTCATAAGGGGGCCCTGCATGAAACCTTATAGTGCAAGTCTCAGCACTATCTCCATCCTTCTCTATCCTGTAATTAGGAGATTTGGATTGAGATTTCTTCAACTGTCTTCACAACTTCTGAAAAAAATTTCTCTAGAACTTGACCGCCCAAAATGAATTCATCAAAATAATATGCGCCTGCAAAACAGCTCAAACATGAATTATACCCATGGGCAGCGACTATCATGATTCTACAGAACAAGGATTTGAAAGGCTTCTTGAGATTTGTATATATTAAGCACTAAGCAAAACTGGCACGTATCCAAAAGTAATAAAAAAATTCTACTCATTTGCACTGATATTAGGCTAAAAGTACTGAAACAGTTTCCACTATTGCAGCATGAGCATATGTAGTAGCAACAAAATTCACTAGTAAAATCAATACAAAGTGCTAGGACTTAAATAAGAAGTTAATAGACATAAAACAATGTTTGGTTGCTCCACTATATCAATTTCTTATCACTTGAAATCTTGGCGAGCTTAGCAGAAATAACTGTCAATTGCTCATTACAAGCTTGTGATGGCAATAACAACAAACAGTTTAACCAGAGTAATCAACTATTAGACTAGTACAGTAAAAATGATTCCGCATCACGCTGCATAGCAGTAAGGATGACTACGCAAAAAATCAGTAATTATTTTTATATGGGTTTTTCTAATTTTAAAGAAAAGAATAATAACCTTGTTAAAGTTGAATACCATGTCTAGCTCACATACCTTACTGAAACACTTGCCCAATGCCTCTACAAAAACTGTAATTCAATGATTAAAATAAACAAACCAACAGAAATAGATAGGTGTCTCTAACACACAATTCCACGAGTACAAATTTCAAAATGGAAACAGAACAATGCCTAGTTTTTTATGCTCTTCTATGTCAGTAGGAACCTGGGACTAGTTCAAAGCTAAATAAAATCAATAAGCTCAGTTAATAGGCTTTTACAACATGTCCAGTGCTAGTACTGTAATAATAAAAAGTGGATACCCACAGTTTTACAAATCAACCTGGTGATGTTTGTTCCAGGATACAACTTGTATACAGTAGAATCACATGCATTTTAAAAATAATGACGTGACCAAAATATGACATACAGGTGAATCAACTTTCTTTCTTACTTGATTTATGTTTCTAAGCTATGTCATGATTTACTGTCATAGTTGCTTCAATTATGCAGAGGATCAATGAAGTGGGAGTAAAAGTTCAATGAGACAAAGTTTGAACACATCAATTGATGGACTAGATATACCTTGCATAAGATCTAGCATTGCAAGCTCATTGTCAGAGCTATCAAATATGAATACAAAGTATCGAGTCGCATAAGTATTGTACACAAGCCTCACATCCAGCAAAGTATTATTTGTAGATTCTAAGTACAAGATGCACCAAGGGGCAAGAACCCCAAGGATAATCCACATTGAAACTCAAACAATTGTCATTGATCAATCTATTGTTGGTTCATACAACTATGAATATAGTGTTTGCTAATTTCTCCAGCCAGCCTTTACCCCATGTTTTTACCCCATGTTGGACTCGAAGGGATTGTAATGAATGAGATTAATGACTCAATATAAAGTAATAAAGATCACAATAAAAAACAAGATTAAAAGTAAAAAAGAAAAAAGAGAGTTAATCACAGAGAAACGATGCATATTAATTAACAATATGGAGAGAAATTATAGACACAGCAATAATGTAGAAACAAAACTGACAGATGAGCCTTGTATTTATAGGCCACGTTCCAAATCCTAGAAGAGTTCTAAAAAGTAAGAAAATCTGTTAAAATTATGTTACAATTGCACATAGAACTTCAACCCAAAGAGGATTTCCTTTCCTTATTCAACTTGAATACAATCTTCGTTTCCCAGTAAAAATCAAATATACAATCTCACAAGACTCCTAATCATATTTGAGTCACAAAATCTAACAATCTCCACCTTAACTCAAATTTCGGTGCAACGAGCAAAGCTCCACAAAATTTCTCCACCTGAGAAATAAACCCATTTGTATCAAAATAAAATAGCTAATTTCTTTAATGCAGTAACCAAAACTCTCCATATAAACCATCGTCTTCTGCACGGCATCTACAAACGACACCTGAACCCTACGCCCGAGTTCCCAAAATTCCACCAAGGAATTAATGTTTACCAAATAGGGTCGAAACACACTCTGTAGCAGAAATCATACAAAATGCCTGAACAGAAGGCCCCTTATTAGAACTGTCACCTCCAACGTCCCCAAAAGCATTACAGACATCATTGACACCACCGTACCTAAGCTTAATTGATCCAATCCTAGCAACTGAACACAATGTAATTGCTGAAATTGGTGGTAAAGCGGAATCACCAACGCTTCCTCGAGCAATATTCTGAACCGACCTAGAGTCCTTCACAAGAAGTACTGTACCAAATTGAATATCTACCACGGTACTGAACTTGTCCATATGTCTTTTAGCTGGTTCTGCGCTCCCCTACAACATGCACAACTGAGGCATCCGTCCCTCTAATATAATTCGGACACCCTTTCGGACATTTAAAACTCCACCTCCATTAGAGAATTTATACCCTTTTACATTCAGAGTACTAAGCGAGATGAGATTCTTTTTCAAGTTTGGAACATGTCAAACCTGATTAATTGTTTTGACTATCCTATCCAACAGCCTAAATCTGACTCGACCGATCCCAGCAATACGGCAAGACTGATTGTTTCCCATTACAACTCCACCTTGCTGAACAGTCTCATATGTCTTAAAGAAATTCCAATTGGAACACATATAATGCGAACATACCGAGTCGAGAATCCACGCATCGTCAGGCCTAGATTTTACGTCAGATGCCAGGGTCAACATCACATCTCCATCGTCGAAAAAATTCTCAACTATATTTGTTTCGTCTGAAGTCAATGGTTGCACTCCACGATTTGCAGTTAAATCACCTTTAGCCTACAACTTATCACAATCCTTTCGAATATATCTCTTATGTCTGCAATAGAAGCAAAACAAATTGCTATTATTCTTCAGTCTGCCACTCCATCGACCACCATGAGATACAAGAGCTTCCTCATCTCTCGATGTAACTCCAACCAAATGCTTCAACTTCTTCTTTCAGTGCAAAGCATCATAGACGTCATCTATATTCAAAGCATCCCGACTATACAAAATAGTGTTCCAAAACGACAGATAAGAACTAGACAGCGAACACAACAGAATTAAGACTAGATCCTCTTCATCATACTTAACCTCTAACATCTCCGGATTTGCAACTATTTCCTTGAACACGGCAATATGGTCCTCCAATGACCCTCTTTCTTCCATGCGATGGGAATACAACTTCTTCTTTAGAGCCAGTTTGATCGTGAGACTTTTATTCATGCATAACTGTTCTAATTTCAACCACAAAGCAGCCGCTATTTTCTCCTTCAAGACTTCATTCAGAATATTATTGGATAAATATAGATGAATTTGCAATAAAGCCTTTCGATCCCTCCGTTGTCCAATCAACTGACATCTTCTCAAAATCCAGTAACGCATCGTCCAAATCCAACTGCGTCAAAATTTTCCTCATCGTTACTTGCCACAAAGAAAACATTGTATTGTGGTCCAGCATCGAAATGTCATACTTCATGATAGTCATCTTTGAAAAAATCTCAACCGCTCCACAGAAAAAAAAAAAAAACCAAACTCCGATACCACTTATTTGATCTAGAGGGAATGTAATGAATGAAAATAATTATACAATATGAAGTAATAAAGATCATAATAAGAAACAAAATTAAAAGTAAAAAGGAACAAAAAGAGTTAATCGCAGAGAAACAATGTATATTAATTGACGATATGGAGATAAATTACAGACACAACAATAATGCATAAACAAAACTGAGAGAGGAGCCTTGTATTTATAGGCCACGTTCCAACCTTAGAAGAGTTATAAAAGGTAAGAAAATATATTAAAATTATATTACAATTGTACATAGAACTTCGATCGAGAGAGGATTTCCTTTCCTTATTCAACTTGAATACAATCTTCCTTTCCAAGTAAAAATCTAATACGCAATCTCAAGACTCCTAACCATATTTGAGTCCCAAAACCTAACATCCTCT